GTATCTTATACTACTATAAGATCTTTACTAAGATACTTAATTTAGTAGCTTTTAGTAAGTAAAAAGTATACCCTTAGTAGTGTCTTTAAGAGATATCTTTTTTTAATTTATACTAGTAACTTCTTAATCTAAAGATTATAGTATCTCTTTATAGTAAGCTAAAGAATATAGTATAGCTTATTTATTATAATTATTTTTACTAAAAAAAGCTACTTAATAAGCTAAACTTATACCTTTAGTAAAAGCTAAAGTATAAGTAGTAAAAAGTAAGGTTACTTACTAAGAAGTAAAATAAGTTAATACTAGCTAGATTTATATAAATATAAGTTAACTAAGTTAAAGCTAGATTTTTACTTTATTTTAGTAATAAATAAGAAGCTAGTCTAGTGTTCTTAGTAAAAAAAGGATAATAAGGAATTATATATATAAATAGCTACTTTAGCCTAGTATTTAAAGGATATAAAGTTAATAAAAAATAGTTAGTAATAATAATAAATCCTTATAGCTATATTATAATAAAGTAGCTAGATAATAGGTATTTTAAATATAAAAAAGGTTACTTTTCTTAGGGTAAATAAGAACTAGGCCTAGTAAAAGGGCTAACCTTTATAGCTATAGGAAGTAGGCTTAATAGGGGGCTTTTTTTATAGCTATAAGAAGTAGGCCTTATAAGAAGGCTAACCTTTATAGCTATAGGAAGTAGGCCTAGTAAGAGGGCTAACCTTTATAGCTATAGGAAGTAGGCTTAATAAGGGGGCTCTTTTTATAGCTATAAAGTAAGGTTAATAAGAGGGCTTTTTTTATAGCTATAAAGATAGTGCTTTTTATAGAGGCTATTTTCTATAGCTATAAAAAGAACCCCCCTTATAGAGCCTATTTCCTATAGCTATATAGGTTAATTAGTTAATAGTAGAATAGAATAGTAGAATAGCTATATTAGTGTAATTACCTTTACTGCCTTTATAAGGATATACTATTTTTTTAAACTAATTAGAAACATAAATAGTAGTGTATTTATAAGGCTAGTGTATTTATATTAATTCCTAGTATATCTTAATTAGTTACCTAAAGAAGTTACTAAATAGTTACTAAGCTTACTAGGCTAAAACTATAGCTAACTTTAACATTATTATTTAGTATTACTTAAGAAAAAGAATATACTAGTAAATACCTTATTAAAGAAAAAAGAAGAATCTAGTAACCTAAAAGTTACTAAAAAAAGTAAACTATACCTAGGTATTATATTTACTTATACTATTTTCCTTTAAGATTACTAAAGAGCTAAAGTAGTTACTATAAGATATAGTACTAATACCTATAAAGACTACCTTAATAAAAATTATAGTTAATACTTTAACCCTAGAGAATAATCTCTAGGGATATTTACTAGTAAAATAAATCCTTTAGTTAAACTATAACTTTATTACTTTATTACTAAAGGTATTTTATAAGATTATAAATAAAGAATAAAAATACTAAAAACTTTAAGATAACTTATTAATAATAGACTATAAATTTATAGTACTCTTAGAAAAAAACTTATATACTTATATAATTTAAGAGGCCTATAACTAAAAACTATTTACTTACGTTAGCTATAATAAGATAATAAAAATCCTTAAGGAATACTACTACTAGCTTAGCCTTTTAGTTAATATAGAGAAATATATTTAAAACTACTATATATACTATAATAACTAAAAGCTATAAGATAAACCCTCTAGAGAACTTTACTTTTTACTTATCTTATATTACCTTTAGTAGTATATTACTATTAACTTTATATTTTATTAAAAAAATAAAAAAAGCTATAATAACCTTTAAGTATTAGTTAACTACTTAAGTAAATAAGCTATATTTATTTTTAACTTTAAAATAATTACTATAAAGAATATAGTATAGATATTTTATAAAAGAGTCTTTTTAACTTTTAGCTTACTTAAAACTATTACCTTAGACTAAGGTCTTTAGTTTATATTAGACTTTTAGAATAAGCTTTACTATATCTATAGTATTAAAATATAGCTATTTATTATAAACTACCTTTAGACTAATAAATAAACTAAGGTCTTAAACTAAGATATTATATAATAACTTTACTTTCTTATTAATTACTACTAGAATAACTAAAGTAATATAGTCTTAGTAGTAGACTTTACTTATTTAGCCTTCTTTAGTAAGACTACTAGTCTATTTCTTTATAAAGTTAAATTTAAAAGACCTCTAAGGTTAAGTTTTAATTAAGATAACTATACCTAGAAGTATAATAATACTAAGAAAAAGCTTAATAAAATAAACGCCTAGTACTAAGCCTAAAAGATCTATAAGTACTAGTAAATAGCTAAAAAGAATATAGAAATTACTTAAAAATAATACTATTATTATACTAACTAGTATAAATAACCTAATAACCTTTAAGTTAGTAATAAAGTTTTTATTAATATAACTTATTAAAAGTATAATATCCTTAATAAGCTTTAGAACTTATAGGTAGCTCCTTAGCCTATTATAGTAACTAGATTAAAAAAAACCTAGAAAGTCTAGTTACTCAAAAATATTAAGGCTTATCTAGTGTTTTACTTAAGTAAGCTTAAAAAAGCCTTTAATAACTTTTTTCTTAGATAATAATAAAAACTATTTTCCTTTATAATATTTAACTTTAGTAATAAACCTAAGTATAAAGTATTATAAGTACTAAAGTCTAAGATAAATTATAAAAGACTTTAGTACTAGGTTAATTAGTTATATTATAATAAAGACCTAACTTAGTATAATACTAAAAGCTTTTATTATTTACTAGTAGTACTATAGAGATTCTATAAAGAATACTTAATAGCTACTAGACCTTTAGTTAACCTACTTTAATAGTTATAGACTATAGTAAAAAACACTAAAGTACTTTTTTACTTTAATAATAATAAAGCTACTTAATAAACTATTAACTTACTACTACTTTATAAGCTAACTGATACTTTTTAGGCCTTAACTTTACTTTACTAGTTTTTATTTTAAAAAAGTATTTCCTAAAAAAAAGATTTATATAAGAAAATAAAATAATTAACTTATAAAAAAAAGGTTAATTTCTAAGGCTAACTAATAAATTCTAATATTATAAATAATATTACTAATAAAGAGGGAAGTAATATTATAAAGTAACTAAGACTATAGGCTATAATAGCTATACTAGTTATAGCTAATAAGCTATAGAGACTACTAAGGCTAAGTATAGACTACTAGAGGTTATATAACTAGGAAAAGGTTTATAAAGAATTTAAAGGCAAGGCTATAGAGAAAGGCCTTACTATAGTTTTCTTTTCCTTTTAATCTTAGAATCTTTATTCTAGGTAATATAGTTATAAGTTATTTAACCTTAGATATTACTACTATAGTATAATAACTCTTTACTAAGGTAGTATATTACTAATATATAACCTTTACTAGTTATTAAAGATAAAGAAGAAGAATAGTAAGTAGCTAAGATTTTAAGTACTAAGTAGTATAAGAAATATAAAGCAAGAGAGTAATAAGTGTTAATATACTAAGACAAGTATATAAAGCCTACTTAGGAACCTATTAAATTAGTAAAAAATACTATAGCCTTTAATAACTATAAAAATAAATATAGTAAGATTAATAAGTATAATAAAAGTATAAACTATATATAAAAAAATAAAAGAAATATAAAGTAAATAGGTCTTTATTTAACTATAGCTAATAAGTAAAGTTAAACCTTTATAAAAGCTATAATAGTAGTAAAATAAGAAAACACTAGTATATAATAAAGATATAAAAAAAACTACTTTACTAGTAGTCTCTTAGATTAAAAGATATAAAGTAAGTACCTTAGGTATAAATAAAGTTAATAAACTATACTAGTAAATAACTAATTAGTACTATATTTATAAAATAATAAAATAATAGTACTTATAGTAGCTAAAGAGCTAGTAATACTTTCTTAGGCTATAATAAGCTACTTAGCCTAGGTAGTTATAAAACTACCTTTAGATTTCTATAGTTATATATAATAGAGAGCTAGTAAGGCCTAGAAGTATTATTTTCTAACTACTAGTAAAGAGGAAGTATATATTATAGGCTAAAGCTATAGTAAGTATAGTAAGGCTTTACCTACTATAATATATAAGCTAGTAAGGTAAGTGTACCTAGTTAGCGCTTAGTTAGTAGCCTTATTTAACCTTATATATATAATATATATACTACTGTAAATAGTTTTCCCTCCTTAGTCTAGATTAATTATATTAAGTTACTATACACCTATTAGAAGGTAGTACTAACCCCTTATAGCTAATACAAAAATAACTACTTTTAAAGAAGAAAAATAATAGTAAGGAGCTAAATAATAATAATAATAGGTTATAATTAGTTACTCGTTACTTTCTTAAGATATAACCTATAGTAAAAAAGTAAATAGTTTATATATTATACCTTAGACTATATTATAAGGCTTCTATAGGTAAATAGTAGAAATAAAACTAAGGTTAAATAAAGTAACCTCATTATAAAGAAGAATATAAAAAAGAAAGCTACTTTTTATAGGTCTAGTAGAATTTAGTTATACTAATAATTTGTTTTAAACTAATTAAAAGCGTAAATAGTAGTGTATTTATAAGGCTAATATATCTATATTAATCTTTAGTATATCCTAACTAATTACTTCTAATTAATAGTTACTAAGTAGTTAGTATAAAGCTTATAAATCATTATATTTTAGCTTTAAATTATATATTTTAGCTTTTATATTAATAAATTTAACAGGATATATTTATTAGATTTTAATTTATAATAATTATCTCTAGTAATTAGTTAGTAAGTAGTTACTGATAAGTGTATTAACTAGGCTAGTGTCTTTTTATTATTTATCTTTTAGGCTAATCTCCTCTAGGAAGTTAAATTTAAATAATTATAAAGTAATTAGTATTAGGCCTTAATTAGGGAGAAAAATAAAGGTAGTTATATTATTAGAATTTAACTTAGCCTTTTAACTAGGTCTTTAGCTTAGGCTATTCTTATATATATATATATATATATATATATATATATTACCTAAGGTATTACTAAAGGCTTACTAACTAATTACCTAAATCTTATCTCTAGTATTCTACTTATTAACCTAGGGGGCTAATATTCTTATAGTATTATAGTTAATTTCTTTTATATATTATTATATAATACAAGATAAAGTAGACTATTTACTTACATTAACTATTTACTTATAAAGTATATTATAGGCTTTATAATACTAAAAAGATAATCTCGTATATAGTTTATACTTATAACTTTAGATCTTAATAAAAGAAACACTATAGTTTTTAATTTATAATAATCTTTTTTTTACTAGCAAATACCTAAGAATAACGATATTATTATTCTAATATATAATAAAAGAATCCTTAAAATGAAACTTAAATAATAAAGTAACTAAGAATATATTTATTATACTTTAGTATAATTTTATTAATTCTAGATTTAATACTTCTCTTTGTTTAAAATCGGTAGAAGATTTATTTATTAATAGTAGTAGTTTCTAGATTAAATAGCTAAAAAATCTCTAAGAATTCCTAGAGAATTCCTAGAGAATTCCTAGAGAACTCTCTGTTAATATTCCTAATATCCCTAGGTTACTAACTAGCTACTAGCTAGTTAATATCTTATAAGCTATAGAATAAATCCTTTATAGAATAAGTATTCTATAGTATAATAATATTCTTTATATAAGAATACATATTATCTTAGAATTATAAGAAAGTAAAGAAACTAGTTATTAATAAATTAATTATTATGTATAGCTTTAAAAAGGAAAATAAAGAGATATAAAGAAAAGAAGAATAAAGAATAAAGAAAACTAAGTATAAGAGGTTATAACATAAGGTAAAGTGTTTACTATATATTAATCTAAAGACTAAGAGTAGTATTATAAGTTAAAATATAGTATAAATGTTTAACTCTAGAAATAATATATAGTAAAGAAATATATTAATAATCTAACTCTATATAAACTAACTAACTAACTTAACTTTAGCCTTAAAGCTAGTTAGCTAATATTAAGCTATTTATAAAGTTAACTAGTTAGTTAATAACGTTATTTAAAAAGCTTACTTTAAGTAAAGCGCTAGGTCTACTTAGATCTAAGCTATATTATTAAAGCTATTTATATTCTTCTTTATATATAGTAGTTCTTATATATTATTATATTTTTTATATATTACTATTCTTGTATACTATTCTTTATATACGTAAAGCTACTATAATAGTTATAAGTAGGCCCTTATAGTAGTTATATTAACAAGAGATTAGTTATATCTAGTTAGGGTTTATTAGCTATATATAAAGAATAGTTTAGAAGAATAGTAGTAAATAACAAAAGTTAGTAAATAAGAACAGCTATATATAAAGAATAGTTTATAATAATAGTAGTTATAAATAGATATTAGTATATAAGAATAGTTATATATAAGAATAGTATAAAACAGGTTTACTAATAGAGCTTAGATCTAAAGTAGATCTAGGTAAATAGTATTATATATAGTTTTTCTTTACAAGGGGTTAACTCTAATCCTCTAGTTACCTAGGGGTAAAACTTTAGTTCGTAGCCTGACTAACACACCTGGATATAGTAGTACACTAAAAGGCGTAATGGGTGTCACAAAATATAATAGTTAATAGCTTTAGTGGTAATAGTGTAGAGCCGTTGCTTACTTGGCTTAGCAGATTACGGTTATAGTAAGCAGGTACTTATAAGACTATAGCTAAGAGGGCTAGAATTGGCTGCTGCTCTAGGCTAAGAATACTCGATAGGGTCCACCTCAACTAAATAGTGCCTACCTTCCTGCCTTACACCTATTTGTACTCTCCTCCTCGCCTCTTCTTCTTCATTGTAACATTATTACAGGATTTATAGATTAGTTGTCACGAGTTAGAGCACACAGCAGGGCATATAGGAATTCAGGTCTAAAAGGCTTATTCTATTTAAGTGTAAGTGAAGTAAATGTAAGCTTTAGAAATAGAGACATAAGTGTGTAATAACACGTGATATAGCACCTAACAGTGCTGTTACAGAAGGTAGAAATATATAAGGTTATCGTGACATTAGTCGGCTTTCTTAGATTATGTTACTTCTAAGTCTATATTAATTACTAATTTATCTTTATATTCTAGCTAAGCTGTTATATTCTATATAAACTGTACGTAAATCTGATTTGTTTCTTTTACGCTAGAACCTTAAAGGTGACTTACCTCCTTGTAATTAGGATTTTCTTTAGTCTTAAGATAACATTATCCTACTCTCTAGGGCGTGTAAACTATCATAGCCCAACCAGTTAGGGTGTTGGCCGGCGTAACTATGTAGTGCAGAACAGAGAATTATAGTGTAGGAGTATTACTACTCAAGCTTTTGCTTTGTGGTGCGGTTAGTTACCCTAACCTGCTTGTAACAAAAACGAAGACTAGCTGTCAGGACAATTGACTCTAAGGGAACGCTGCTGAATTCAAGGCAGTCACGCATTAATCGTATTACATTAACACACCGTTACCAGCTTTTCTAAGCATAAGCCAGATCAGTTATGCTGATAAGCATGCGAAGATGTTTACCGCTAAGCAGACTTGTTCCCGTCTCTATTACCTGCACCTATAACTCTTCTGCCTCCTTACAAATCTAATACTCGCTATTTACGTTCGCTATATGTAATAGGACAATTCTCCTGCCAGGCAGGCCAAAGGCCATATAGCTGGTGTTGACAGCAGTGCTCAGTGAGGATCACTCAAGCATTGGTGGACCTTTTGGCATCATGGTCAGACATATGGCTCAATTGGTTGGAGCGTGTGTCTGGCTGCTATATTGGCAGGCGCGTCACTGTCAGCGCCTTGTTACACAGTGGCTGTAGCCGTCGGCCTCGGCCTGTCCGTTTCAACCCATTTACAAAATCCATGGTCGGCATTACGATGGTGTTTACAGCCCTTTAAGTAAAGGTTAGTGTTATAGTAATCTAAAATATATCGTATTAATGCTTACCCGATAAAACCGTCTCATCTTAGCTTCACTATCTCCGAGGTAACAAAATTCTTCCCCAGGGTCGTTCATTCTTTCAGTACCAGTAATAGAATCGCAAACTTCCAACGTAGGCGTATTTACGTAAAAGCCATTATGTAGACAACTAGAAGTTTATTAGTAGATATTATATACGTATATTTACTTACATACTAGCACCAAATATAACCAGCTTCAGCTAAGAGGATAAGTGCTAAGAGGCTAAGTAGAACTAGAGAGAAATGCTTCATAATAGGGTATATGTAGACCTTTGGTATTTAGAAAACAAAGAATAGTGTATTAGATAGAAGTTAGTTATAGTATAAAATAGACACTAGGCCGAGTGTTATATATAATACTCAAGAACAATAGCTACTACTCAAACCTGCTTTTTACTATTTAAAATATATCCCTTTAGTTATAAAATGACCTTATTATCCTGTGTGAAGGGTAGGAGCAAATCAGGTCACAGTAATTAACGCCAAAAGCCAATAGTTTCAAAGTGCTTCTATTCATATAGCGTTTTGACTATGCCAAAGGTACCAGCAATCTCTACCTTTACATAACAGTATATTGTAGTCTAAGCAGACTTGCAAGGTCTTCTAGAAGTTTGTTAGGCTTATATAGGCAAGTGATAGCAAGGTCCTCTAGTAAGACCTCCACGTATATAGTGCTATTAATAGAGGTATCCAAATGTTGAAATTAGTGGTAGTTGCTAATAAAATAACATTCTAAAATAATGTAATGTCATGTATCTCCGAAAGTGTGGGGTAAAAGTGGAGGGGTCCTACCTAGAGGATAATGCAGTCATTTCGCAACTAAAGGAATAGTGATTACACTTTATAACTGCGTTGTTCTGCTTTATTCCCTTAGATTAAGGCACAAGGTAATAGAATACGGTCATCCCGACAGTAGAGTTTATTATATATACCGTAATCTACTGCAGTAAAAAGCGCAATAGGCTCCACCAGACCTCATAGTTAATATCTTTTGTAGGGGTGGTGTAAGTTCACTACTAGCAGGGTATAGCAGATTACGGCTGTGATCACCAAGTACTAAAAAAGCAGCAGTTGTCAGCATTAAAGTGAAAACGCCAGAACTGGCTTACAGACAATCCGCCCGTTCTTAATGTACCAGGACGTCCGTGGCCTGTTCAAGCTTTTGTTTGTCAGTGCAAATTCTGGCTCTGTTGGTAAGGGCTCTAATGTGATTTATATCCTACAAGGAATCCTACAAGGAGCATAAACCTGTTGAAGTGCGTAGATATGGCGGTCAATTACAACGATATCCCTAGTTAATTAGGCGTATATTAATAGTGTATTAATTAGTAAATTTACTGTAATTACTGCCTTAAATTTATAGCCTTTAACTAAATATATTTATTATCTAATTACTACCTTTTAAGTAAGGAAATCTATTTATCTAATAGCAGTAATATTTAACTTACTTTTATATATAGCTAATTACTACACTTTAATATACCCTTATAAATTAAAGCTATTTATAGATTTAATTTACTAATTTATAGCTAATTAGTACTTATTACTGCCTAAAAACCTTAACCTTAATTACTTTTACTTACTATATAGGTATTAGTTACCTATTAAATAAATAACTAAAACTAAAGTATATATAGTTAAGTAGTATTATCTTTATCTTAATAATATAGTATAAAATAATAACTTATACTAGAGCTCATAGGTTTAATCTTAAGTAAAGGCAAAAAGACTTAATAATAGTTATATCTATAAAGCCTATTACTTTTCTTAATTAGTTTACCTAAAGCTATATTAGTATAAAATATAGTAATTACCTATAGCTATAATAGTATTAAAATATAGTATAAGTAGTAGTTAATTTACCTAGTAAGCTAGTCCCTTTATTTTACTAAATATAGATTATAAGGTATAAAGTGTAATAGCTTTAGAGTTATTATTTCCTTAAACCTCTTTATTAATATAGTTTATCTTCTAGTAAGTTAAAGTTATATTATTTTAAATAATAATATATTAACTTTTTTAGTTAGTTTAAGTATTATTTTATAGCCTTAATTAAGATAAATATAATAGTAAAAATACTAACTATAAAAGTTATATAATTATTAAGTTATTTATAGTTAAATAGTTAGTAATATATATATAGTTTAAATATATAAAATCTTTATAACCTTACTTTTTTACCTAGTATAACTATAAATATTAACTATCTTAGTTAAGACTACACTAGTTAGTAAATACTTCTTTACTATAGTTATAATTACTTTAATTTTTACTATTTAACTTTATTATTCTTATTAACTACTTACTAAGTATAAAAGTAATTACTTACTAGTAAGCTTTTTTTTATAATTTTATAATATTTAATTAATTTAGTTTATAAGGCCTAATTACTTAATAAATATAGCCTATTTTTGTTTTAGTAGTACTTTTATTAATCTATTTACTATTATCTTAGCTAATAAAGTATAGACTACTTTAATCTTTTTATTTACTATTTCTTAGTATAACTAGTAATAGTAAATATTTATATAGTATAGCTTTATCTATAGTTAAATAATTTCCTTTATAACTAGGCTAATTATCTATTAGTTATTATATTAAATAATTATTTATAAGTTAATTATTATTATAAATACTATAGTTAACTTAGTAATTAATTAGCTTATAAATATTACTTTCTTTATAGCCTATAAAAAGGCTAATAACTTTATATTTATTATAGATATTATTATTATCTATTACTTATTTACTTACTAGCCTATAAGGCTATTAAATAGTTTAATAGTATATACTTATAAGCTTTTATAGTTAATTAATTTATTACTAAAGCTAGTATTAAAGGTAACTATTATTACTTTATTAGATCTATATTTAAAGTAAAGTCCTTTTATATAGTAAAGGTATTATTGTCACAGGACAATGTGCCCAACCTTCGGATCCACTTCTCGGCCTTGCCGGTGGATCCATCGGTCGGGCCGATATCCTGCCAACAGCTGGTGCCCCACTAGGCCCCACCTGTCGCCAGTCTATAAGACCGGCCGTTGCCAGCCGTAGCTCTAGCTCTTAGTTAGTCATCAAATCCATCACCTATTTAACCGTGTCAAGTGGTAGCACAACCGCAGGTTACGATACTATAGGTAATTAACCCTCTGCCGCCGTTAAATTCACAATGAGAGGCAAATACGCCAATCGCCGTTAAGAGCTATTTAATTAGTTATCTTAAAGGCAACCAATTGGAGGCATCCCTTCACTTCAACAACCTCACTTTTCTTACCCTTCTTCACACTCCTTTATATCAGTTATTTCACCCCTACAGACGTCAAGGCCACCGCCACCAGAGCTACCGTCAATTAAAGCCCTTGAACAGCAACAACAGCAACAAAGTCGCCAGCTAGAGCCCTACCATAAGTGCAGTGCTAGATTTCCCTCAAGATCCACGCTTTTTTGCTATATATACACTAATAACTATAGCTAATAATATTACTACTAACTTTACTATTAAGACTTTATATTTTAGAATACCTTTTTCTGCTATTTACTAGACTACTAGCCCCTATTACCTTTACCTTTAAAGACCTTATTACTTTTATTAACTTTACTATTACTACTGTTAATAATAACTATCTTATTACTACCCTCTTTACCTATAAGTAAATAGTCTATATTACTAGTAGTGCTAACCTTTCTCTTAGCTATAAAATTTTATACTACTGTTAAGGCCTTTACCTAAAGGATAATACTAATCTAGAACTAGGAGGATATAGTCTAATAAGAAAGTAAATAGGCAAGGGATATATAGAACCCCTAGCTAGCAGCAAGATACTTTAAGCTACTGCTACTAACACTATTACTAATGTACACCTAACTAGTGTACACCTAGTAGGCCTAACAACCTTATAAGTTATACGCCTAACTACACCTTTAAAAGCTATATTTACTACACCCTGGATTTAGAAAAGGTTACCTACCTAGAGGTAAACTTATCTATTAGCGCCTTTAAGAACAGGAGGAGGAAATCTAGTCTATTTAGTAACAAGTCTACTAGCTTTAAAACAGCCTACTGCCTCTGCTACCTTATAAAGCTACCTAGTACTATAGTTAAGATACCCTAGATAAAGATAATAAAGATAATAAAGATAATAAGGACAAAGATAATACTACTAGTTATACTATAAAAACAGGTCCCTAGGATAATAATAATAGATCTATTTATACAAGGGATTATTACTATAACTTTAATAAATCTAATAGCTAGCTAGTAGCTAATAGCTAGCCTACTTCTAGCTAACTTACCTATAGTTAGCTAGTATCTAGCTAACTTACCTATAGCTAGCTAGTATCCTATTAGCTAGTATATAACTATTAACACTATTAGCCTATATATATAACTAACTAACCTATATATTAATAACCTATATATACGCCTAGCTAGCTAGCTTATAGTTAGCTAGCCTAAAGTCTATACTTATACTTATATATACCTAGCTAGCTAACTTATAGCTAGCTAACCTATAGTTAGCTAACTTATAGTTAGCTAACTTATAGTTAGCCTATATATATACCTAACTAACTAGTATACTAACCTAACTACTTAGCTAGTAATAATAACTAGGATTATAGTAGTAATAATAATAGTAACACTATTAGAGATAACACTAATAAATATAAGGACTTTAATAACTATAGAGATAAATATAGTAACAATAAATATAGTAACACTTATAGTAGTAATAATAATAACTATAACAAGGACTATTAACCTTTAACTATTAACCCTTAAGTATACCTTTTCTATAATAGCTATAATAGCCTTATAGAAGCCTAAGGTATATAGTTAACTACCTTATTAGCTAGTAAATAATTACTATATAATAATTATTTCTATTATTAGGGGGGCACTTATCACAGGATAATGTGCCTAACCTTTAGATCTACTTCTTGGCCTTGCTAGTAGATCTATTAGTTAGGCTAATATCCTGCTAACAGCTAGTGCCCTACTAGGCCCCACCTGTCGCTAGTCTATAAGACTAGCTATTGCTAGCTATAGCTCTAGCTCTTAGTTAGTTATTAAATCTATTACCTATTTAACTATGTTAATTATAGTGCCTAATTTATTACCCTCTAATAGGTAGCTAATAGGTTTTAATTAAATTATACTAGGTAACTAGTTATAAATATAATATTAGGTCTAGTTATTACTACTATATATAGAATTAATTTAACCTTTTACTAGTATTTAGTAAGCTTATAGT